CTCTGTGTATATATATATATATATATACAGTCAAACAGAGCTGCCCAGTAAACCGTAGGCAGAGAGGGAGAAGAGGACAACAAACGAGGGGCTGTGGCAAACTGTTTCGTCGGAGTTTCACCGACTCGTCACGAGGCTGAACCCTATAACTCCGACGAACAGTTTGTCACAGCCCCTCGTTTGTTGTCCTCTCCTCTTCTCTCTCTCTGCCTACGGTTTACCGGGCAGTTCTGTTTGTGACAATATATATATTATATATATGTATATATATATATCGTCAAATAGAACTGCCCGGTAAACCGTAGGCAGAGAGGGAGAAGAGGACAACAAACGAGGGGCTATATATATGTATATATATGTGTGTGTGTGTGTGTGTGTGTGTGTGTGTGTGTGTGTGTGTGTGTGTTATGTTTTGCTGCGGGGCTCCTGCGACCGTGTCACAGCATGATGCGTTACAACTCATGCTCCATGAACAACAGCATGAAAAAGTCACACCATACCCAAGGGTTTACAATATACCATAACAGTTTGCGGATAGGGAAGAACAAAGGTAGAAATCATTCCATCATCATGGTGTTTTCGACGTATATCCGTAGGATGTTTTCAAACAACAACCAATCGGCAAGGAGTGGAAGGCACGGGGGAGGTCACGGAGGGCGGGCAGACGAACAGCACTAGGCAGAAGCACAAGGCGGGAACAACTTGTCAAGAAGTAGCACTAGGGCGGTGAAGCAACAGCACGGAACAGAGGTTGGAGGGCATGGGGGAGGCGGGTGGGCAGGCAAGTCAAGAAACAGCACGACAACAAGACAACAAGGCAGACAAAAAAGTAGCGAGAAAACACAAAGCGAAAAAAATAAACATGATAGATTGTTTCGTCGGAGTTGCACCGACTCGTAAGGAGGCTGAACCGTCGACAATCTGCAGAATCTCCATGCTTGATGGTTTGGGTCATGAACCCTTTGACCCTTGTTGATGGCAGACTGTCCCCAAGCGGAACATAGCAGCGGGCAGCAACCCTGTGGACCAGCAGGCAACACAGTAGAGGCAACACGGCTACACAACGCCAAAAACGACTGCAAGGAACGGCATGGCATGCAGGGCATGCAGCACGGAAACCGTGAAGTGAAGCACAAGACAACACAAGCAAGGCAACAGCACTGCAAGGGACGACGGGGCAAGCGGACCAGCAGCTCGACAACCGTGGAGCGGAGCACAAGGCACCAGCAACAAGGCAACCAACCTACAAGGCACACAAACAGCAAACACGGAAGGCACGGCCAGCGGATGAGCAGCACGGCAGCGGAGCAGCGAAGCGCAAGGCAACACCAACAGCACGGCCACACCGCACAGAGAACACATCAACCTGCAAAGAACCACATGCGAAGTAAGCGGGACAGGCAGCAGGGCAGCGGCGGAGCGCAGACGAGGACGTCCACACATACAACACAGAGCAGAGCAGCACATGACCTACTCGCATCACGATTGAACCCCGCAGACTGTTGGTTCCCACCACCCACTGAACCAGGGAGTC